TGTGGAGCTGTATTCTATATTTCATTTCATTCCATCAGCGTTGCAGCTCCTGTTGGTTTTTCCGGGATGTTGAGTCACACAATCCGCGAAAGTCCTGCCATCCGGCTGTCCTGTCCTTTTTTGTCCTGTCCTGCAGCAGCAGCAGCAGCAGCAGCTTACAACAACATTCGGCGGGGCTTTTGTCGCCTTTTGTTGGGTCCTCAAATTGCTGCCAATTTGTTTGTGGCTAGCTACCATTTTGGTCGTTTCTTTCCTTCGCTACCTCGTTTTTATTTCCCAGCCCCAGAGCATTGTCCATCTATGGAGTGCCACGGTTTTGGGTTGGATTGGGCTGGGTTGGGTTTATTTTTTGTGGCCCCCTTACCATCGCTGGCATTGCATTTTGCATTTCGCATGTATTTTCCGGGAAAGGGAATGGAAATGGAAATGGGAATGGGTCTGTTGTGAGTCTGGAACTGGGAGTCTGGATGGCCGGCTGTCGCTGCCGTTGTCATTTGAGGTCAGTTTAAATGGTTTCCTGTCAGTTGCGGTCTTCGGTTTACCAGCAAACGGGCAACAGCAGCAATGCCGGCCATCATTTTGCATACGTCGCACAATATTCAATAAAGTATTCATTCATATTTCTGCAGAGATTCCCATTTTTTGTTGACTGCTCCTGTCTCTGGCAATAACTCTTCAAGTTATCGCTCTCTTCATATTTTTGTTTGGCCGTATAACTTTTCCAAGCCATTGCGATTCTGTTGCAATTGCAGAATTTAGCCTTGCAGCGCGCTCCAATTGCAAGTTACGGCCTCCAAAACATGAAACAAAATATATGTGCAAATAAAAGAATCGCTTTGCCTCGGCGCATAATTAAGCGCATTTTCTTCTGGCATGAAAATGAACACCTCAAGGTGTCGTACGGAAAATGCATTGAATTCAATACGACGTCTGCGAAATGAGATTGTGGCATCGCGGTGGTGTTGCAGTTGCATTTGCTTTTGCTTTTGCTATTGCTCATTTAGGTTTTATTTTATGCCACAAATACCACAAGAATTGCAACACACAGCCAGTCGGTGACTATGACTGACTGACTGGCGTCGACGAATGTGACACCATGGGTTAGCTCGAGTGGAAATGCAGCAGCAACAGCAGCAACAGCAGCAACAGCAGCAGCAACATCAACAGCAGCAACATCAGAAGCCCTATGCATTTTGCCACGCTGTTTCTTTCTTGGTTAGAGTCTCTGTTTTTGTGTTTTTGGGGCCAAGCACTTGAACATGATAGGAGCTTAGTCGAGTCAGCCATGCCAAGCGGAGTTTTGTGGCAGCCAAACACGTAAGTGGCACATGCGCGGCGTAAAATTGCAAATGCCAGCAGCAGCAGCAGCAGTAGCAGCAGCAGCAACTGCGTTAATAATACGGCTGTCTAGCTGGAGAACCAAAACCAGAGTCATAGTCAGAGTCAGAGTCTGTTGGCTACCTGACAACCACACACCGTCGTCCTTCGCCATCCCTTTTGCCGTCCCATGTGGCGTATGCGTAATGCTGCCTGGACAGCTGACATGACTACCTCCTTTACGCTTGTTACTGCATCCGAATCGGCTTTTTGGGGTCATCAATCCGGACAGGCAGGGGTTAGCCTCAATTTTGATTGATGGAAAAACAATTAACGAATGGAATGGTATTACTTTTAATTGATACGCAAAGAGGGTCATAAAAAGTAAAAGGGTTGGAGGTAATATATGCATTAGTGCATCTGTCCTTTACAAGGATTCTGTCAATAAATATTAAATTCTTTTGACAGTTTTTGTACTTCCATTAATTATTTATTGAAGGCTTATGTATAAAATACTAAACTAAATAATGAAATTTTTGTAAAGGCACGCTTACAAACCGCAAATATTTTATAAGCAGATTTTTTCAGTCATCTTTTTTTGTTTCAGTAAAAAATGTGAAGCAAAAGATTACAATTTTTAAAATACCTATCTTATTGGTTTTCATTTATGTTTTCATTTAAGTAAAAGCCTTTTTTCCTATTACCATTTTTAATTATTTATTTTGTACTTGTACGCTTGTTGTGCCAATCGTTTACTTTTATTAAGCAATAACAAAGTTTAAATTTATAATCTGTTTGTAATAAAGTTAAAGCTTGTTACGTGAATCGTTAACTTCTCTAAAGCATTGATACAATATTAATTGATGACTAATTGAAGCAACAAATACTCGCACAAAACTTAAAAAGGTTCTTGTTGTACAAATCAAGAAAAGTTACTCCTTATATACTCCTTATAAAGATAAACGCTATTGTGTAGAGTCTGTTTTCTTTAAATTCTTTATCTTGGAAATTACCATCCGCGACTGCACTCCTAATAATCAATATTGCCGTCCTGGCCGCGTTCAACGCTAATGTACCGATCCCAATTGCCTGGCGCTGACAGAGGAGAACAGAACCGAAACGAAACGAACCGAACAAAATAGAATAGAACGGGGCCGGGCCAAGTCCTGTCCATAAACAGAATGACATGGCAGCCAATTAATGTCTACCATGTCACGGGTTTGCTTTGCCCTCTCTGCCAGAGTTGCCTGCGCGCCATATCCCCCACTCACTGTTCACTGTTCACTACTCACTGCTCACTATTCACTACTCACTACTCACTTGGTTTTGCTAACGAACCTTGGACCGTCATCATCATCGTCGGCTTCTGTGCCAAATGGGCAATTTGTTGTCGTTTATATAAGGCGCATTCTGTGCATTTTCATTGTTATTATTGCACCATCTCTCTGGGCTCTGCCGTATAGCCCCCTCTCTTTCTTTAGCCAGCCAGCTGTCTCTTTCTGTGGTTGCCACTGCCATCTATGCTATCTTCCTTGCACTTCCTGGCCACACTGGTGTATATTAATTTTGATGCTGGGGCCAGAAAAGTGCACATTTACATGCAGAGCGGCATTTGTAATTTGTGGACTCTTAGCCAAGTACCTCCGACTGGCACGCCCCCTTTTTGTTTTTTTTTTGTGGGAGTAGTAATAGACCATGGTAGTCCGTAATTGAGTTCATGTCATGTGCTGCTGTCGAAGTCTATCTCGCTTTGGTCTCTGCCTCTTTTAATATTCCTTAGTTGCCCACTCCCCCGATGGCCAAAACTGCTGAGAGTTGCACTTAAAAATATAGCTGCATATTATTCTTGGTTTTCGGGCGCAAAAAACAAGAGCAACAGCAATTCAAAAATCCCTCGAGGGGCACGCTTAGCCAGCGGCAGTCCGGGGAAAACTGAAAATTTTCTATAAATCCGCACTTATTCCCAAAACAATAAAACGCGCAACAATTGTGCCAATTCGCTCTTAAATATGCAACAGCAACAACAGTGGAGGTGCAATGAGGGGAATCAAGGGGGGTCAAGGGGGTGGGGGACGGGACAGCAACAGCTATAGCCCATATTAGGAATGCCATAATTCAGCGGCGATGGCTGGGTCGGCAGTCCTCGGCTCGAGTCCCTGCTAAGCCCACTCTTGTAGTCATTTGCCTGGGACCTAGACAAAAGCAACGGCAGCAGCAATAGCAATAGCAATACCAACACCAGAAATAGCAGCAACATCAGCGGTGGCAACTGCAACACAGTGGGCAGCAGCAATATACTGAGAAAAATTAACAAAATTGGCTACAAACTATCTACGAAATCAAATGGTTACTGTTTTATTTTTAAAAAAAGTGTAGAACATATTTAATATTTACTTAAATATTAGAAGTATATTGAATAATTTTTAAATTGATAAAAAAAAATTACACATTGAAATTTAATATGAAAAATATTTATTAATGCCTATGTTTCACTTATAATTTGTGAAATACAATTTTATTCTATTAATATTTCATAAAGGAAAATGCATAAATATTTGAAAAAAATATGTATTTGTTAACTTAAAAAAAGGGATATCTGTTTATTAAATGTTTCCAATTTTTTGCCCATGTGTATTAGCTGCAGAATGTATGCCAGCAATTTAGACAACTTCGTTGGGTAGCGCAAGCTGGCTAAATTATCAAAAAATGGAAAAGCGAGAAACAAAAACAAAAGGAAGCGATAACTTGCATCGTTGCTGGACCTGAAAAGGGGGTGAAGAGGGGGGCTTTTGATAGGTGACGGTGGTCCTGAGGAAGGGGGGGGCTATTTTCGGGGGCGTGGGCACACAAACACAATAAAACTTATTTACGAGTCACGACGGGGTGGATGCAGGGGCTCCAGCGTAGTTCATTGTAATGCACTTAAAGGGGGGCCATTTCGCAGGGGCGTCGAGCGAAAAGGGGGAGGGGGAAAGGGGCGAACAAGATGCGCGCAAATGATATGCAAAAAAGGGGGCGAACGTTTCGGTTAAAGGGTAAATGAGTGCGCAGCGTGAGGCGAATGAATGAAAGCGCCCGAGCCAAGGAAACTGGGCTGGGAAAATCGCGGGAAAGCGGCGGGAAATGCAGGCGGAGTGGCGACACTGAGGCCAGGGTAATATAAATGAAGGCAACAAGGGGCAGGCCAGAGAGCAGCAGCAATAATATAATAACAACAGACACGAGCAGGAGCGAATTCGGCACTGAACAAATTAAGCAAGGTCAGAAGTCTGCATATATTTATTTTATAGAGAAATTAACTTTTAAATGCATTAATGGTATTTTCGTAGGAAAAATTGATATAAATTAATTTATATTGATTTTTTAATTTTAAGAGCTAAGAATTGTGACACTTTTGAAAAAGGTAAAGTAACTTAATAAATCTCTTTTTTAGATACTTTGGCTTAGATATATTAAACTATTTTATTGCATATTAAAACATATTCAAATATTATAAAGTTAATTAGGATTCAAACTTATATTCTTACATATTAATAAATTTACAATTATCTTTAACAAACTGCCTCTATATTTTGGTTCCAAAAATATTTTAAACTTTTTTTACCCATTTATTGACATTGTAGTGAAATATTGTTCGTTAACAATCCCAACTAAAGGCAAACTCCTCTTTTCCTCCATTTCAGGTACCCAACGAATAGAATTGGAACTCACTCCGCGGCATTTTCCCCTGGAAGGTAAGCGTAGTCCCTTGCATCCGCTGGTAATGAGTCCGGCCACGCCTCTTTAAGTTTTAATAAACGCGCCCATTACGCATACGCCCCATTAGCGTGCGCAACATGCGTTGAGCGGCGCAATTTTCGTTCAGTGCACACGGTGCAAGAAGGTCCAAATGGGAGGGATTGGCCAAGAAGATGGAAGGGATTCGGGGGCGTTGGAGCAGGAGTAGGAGCAACCGGAGTGGGACTTGCGACTGGGTCCTCGTCACAGTACGTAAAGTTCTCAGTAGTCAGTGAAATTGCTGCGCGTCTTGTTTATTGTTGTTGTTGCTACTTGGCTGCTTGGTGTTGCCAAAAGTGTTGGACAGTTGGCTAGTTTTCAAATAAAAAAAATATGTTTTTTTGAAAGGAAGTTAAGAAAAACTTCTCAATTTGTAAGCTTCTTAAGATTTCGGGCATAGCCCTTCGATTTAAAGCAGCTTAAATATTGTAGTTTCCTACAAATGCTAGTTATTTAATAATAATTAAAAAAATGTTTATTAAAATAAAATTATCAATATTTCATTGCATATGTACTACAAAGTTTATGAGTGATTTGAGCTTGACATGTTTATAATAATATGTGCATTTTCTTATAGACATATTAATAAATTGTTCAGACTCAAATAAAGTGTTCGATAATATACTTTGAACAAAGAATAAATTTGTACTACAAACTTTCAGACTTTTAAATCATGGTTATATATATGCTTACCAGATATACAGAAATGCCATTTAAAATTTGCCAGTTTTTAGACGTGTCCTGGAATCCCCAAAATATTTTTTTTTTAAATTTGTGAGACACGGTTATAGTTTTAAATACAAATTTAGCTACTTTTGAAAGCTCCTGATGAATGATTTGGCAACTCTAGCCGCTGGTATATTTCGCTACTGCAGACGTGGCTGCTGCCTTTATTAAGGCGCTTTATTGTCGACTCATGCTGCAGGGAAATTGCACCTCCATCGCGCCATCGTCGCCGCTGTTGCAGCAGCATCTTCAGCCGTGTTTCAGCCCCCTTGGCCACCGATATTTATGGCCGGCAATGCTTTGTGCGATTATTTATTCGCTTCTTTGTTTGCCTGCTCTGCTCGGTGGGTCGAGAAACCATATGAGCGGACGTCGCGACTGCACATGCAAATTGGCAGCGTGCGGGTGCCAAGGCTCATTAAAATGTACGCCGCACAAAAAAAAAATGGACGAAAAGTGGCCAGAAAAATAAAGTAAACAATATGCATATCCTTCGAAAGAAGCTGGCAAGGACATCGTCATCATCTCTTCCGTGCGTGTGTGTATGTGTGTGTGTGTGTGTGTGGGCGTAATCGTGTGTGTAATAAATGATAATCCATTATATATCAATTTTTATCGCACCCAAAGTCGGGCTAAGAGCATTGTCGCTATACTTTATGGCTCCGACTTGGGGGCGAAAGTTGAGTGGGCAAGCTTAAAGCGGGCATGGTCCTTAAATAAAGTGCCTTCCTGCTGACGACTTTATATGCTCTACTTAGTGGAGACGAACGATTGATTCTAATTCGATTTCAATGCCACCAAATAAGCTTAGGCTGTCTTCTTTTATAGTTTGTTGGCTAAATTAAGTTTATTTATATGTTAATACTAAGGAAAAGTCAGTAGCTAATAAGTGCCTTTTGTTTGAAAAAATATGAGAGATTTGGTTTTATTATTACAATTTTATTGACTTCATTTTGATATAAGAAAACATTTGAAATAAGAAAATTACCGAAAAATTTATGATTCCTTACATATAAATACTGTGGATTTGAATGGATTTTTCCGTGCTGTATTTTCTTTTCTGATTTTTTTTTTCCTTGTTCTTCCTGAATTTAAACCATATTTAGTTGATAATAATAGTTACGTAGCATGACTTCCTTTAGTTTCACCAGTAAAATTACTCATAATGTTTCTCGTACTCATTAGCCACCAATCAGAGATATAGGAGTCAAAAAAACAACTTTCTGATGACCACAGAACCCAAAAATGTAGCAATCCGAAATCAGTTTAACTGTAATGCGTCACGCCAAATCGTAGTTAGAACTTTAGGCTTGAGTTTGGCCAAGAACTTTTGACAGTAACTGTAAACGCTAAGCGCGTGGTTTTTTCTATTTCGCCGGCTACTAATTAACTGCCGCAAAATTGACGCATCATCATCCTGCTCATCATCGAGGGCAAAACTCGATACCTACAAGCTTTTATATATATACATATATATATAATAAGTATATCAGGCGTCATTATGGCGTCTTTTTCGGGATCCTCCCGCATTTCCCCAAAACACCCACTGACTGTTTGCATGTGGCTAGCGGGCCGTGGTTAATTAGGAAGCAATATTTAACGTTAATGCGAAATAAATCGCAGCCGAGTAGAAAAAGTCGATGGCGATGCCCGAAGAAGTCGCTCACTTAATTATGTTGACGTTTATGCCGGCATCTGCCATCAGACACCCACACAACATAAGCGAAAAGGGGCTGAGGGAGGTGGGCTTTTCTGAGATGTATTGGTGGCGAGAACCCACCAGATCCCCCAGTGGTAATCATTATTAATGATGACTTTTAGTTTACAAGCTAATTATTTGTTACTGTTACTTCCAGGGCCATTGGAAAAAGAGTGTGGGGGCGAAAATGTTCTGAGCATTCGCGGGTCTTACACTCACAAATAAAAAATGCCAAAGCTTCAGTAATCGTATTAACTGGAAAATATTTAAAAATGGTAAAGTATCTTTTGATATTTGCCATGACCATTTGAGGAATGTGTTCTCAACTAGTAACTCTCTTATGACGAATTTTTTAAAGATGAAAACTGTGAAGCAGCAACCTTTGAAGTGGCTAAAAATAGTGATTCCCAATTCCAAAATGTTAACAAAAAAAATAACAAGAGATTTTAATATTTAAGCATTTTAGTCAAATTATTTCGTTTCCATTCTTAACAAATACCTTAAATAGCTCTGTTTGCAAATTACCCCTTCTTTTTCCAAGTGCCAAGTTGGCTGATTCTCAATTTTGAGCTTTCGGCGCCTTTCGCTTTGATATCGTGGTCGTAATTAATTTATTATATAGCCTGGCAGCGCTCCGCTTTTTGTTTGGGCTCTTATTAATTACCAGTTGGTGTGTGAAATTTTTGCATATTATGTTTGCTGGCACAGAGGCCAGTGGATTGTGTAAGCCGACAAGTATTGAAATTGTTAGCCAAAACGATCTTTGATCTGAAATGGTAATCTAAACGATTTTAAAATGCAAATTTAAGCTGCTTAAAGAAATATGACCGCAGGAAAAAAACGGGGCACAAAAGAAGTCAGAAGTCGAGCGAACTGAAATTTTTTGTATGTAAATCAATCGCTACGCCCACAGTACAAAAACTAGAGGCGGTCATAAATAAGCAGACATCAGCGAATCGGGTTAACAATGAATGGATTTGGAAATCCGTTCAAAATTGGGTCACTAGAATTGCGCAGACGCAGCGGAAGTTGATTTGGCCGAGATTGGTGGACTTTAAAGACGCTCGGCAGAGTGTAATAAATAGCAACAGATAAATTTAGCTAATGTTTCCTTCAATCATTGATCTAGTTTGCTGCGAAATCGTTAAGCGGAAAGATACTTAGATAAACAACGACCTACTTTTTATCCAGTCTTGGCGAAATATTAGCTGCAGGTACAAAACAAACAGTCATGCGAATATAACATAATTTTCCACAGAGTATTATTTTATATTACATTGATTTTCTGAATGACAGATTTAATTTGCAAAGCTAAGCCCATAAATAAGTCAATATGTCGCTGATTAAATATTATTTAGAACACAAAATACCCATAATACTACTTGCAAACATTTAATCTAACACGAAACCGAAAAATCACCGGCTTGCATAAATTAACGTGCAATGAACTTAAACGAATGACATAAAGTGTTATGTACACAGCAGTAATTATGAAAATTTGCATTAATTCTCTGGCTGACAAAAAATAAACTCTGATGATGACGTTCATTCGCAGACAATGGTGTCAACTGTGACGAAATTGTTTTCATGATTTGTTTTGGTCTTGCGTTTCAAAATTACGCAAACGATCGCACGACGACAGCCAAATACAGAAAAAATCAACAGAAATGTCTGCAAAGTGCGTGGGAAGCGGTTAACACGACATCGAGAAGGCAAAACAAAAGCCCGAAACGCAAACAGTAGCGAAAAAAACTGATTACAAAATAACAACAATAAGGCGAACAATGCAAGATGACGACAAATTAGATGCAGCAAAGGTAAAATTAAATAAAAATGCAATTAAAATGCACAGCATTTTCTGCGACGATGAGGAGAAGGCGGTGGCGGTGGGGTTACGTTGGGAATAATTAAAACAATTTTCCCCCCACTCGGTGTGTGTGTGTGACACAAAACAAAAGCGAAAGTGTTGAAATATTTATGCAGAAAATGCACACAAAAAGTGAACCGAGCAAAAGGTAGCGAGCGACACTTGTCTCCAGCTATATATATATATAACACTCGTATTCGTACGATATAGTGATAACCGACCAACAACAAGTCGAATTTTTATTCGCATTTTTAATGGCACCAGCAAACGACTACGAGTTGTGAAGCAGCTTTAAGTGAGTGGATTGAGGAGTTTTCCGAACTTGTTTGAAATGAACTAAATGAAAATCTCTAAGTTACGAATTTCCATGTCAAACATTAACAGAAGAAATGTTGTACATATATTATTGAAAATTCAAAAAATGTCTCATATAAAATAAATATATATTAAGTTTCATGGCAAACATTAAACATTAAATTGCACTAGAAACCTCTTCTTTAATTTGTTACTTATGAAATAAGTAAGTCTTAATACCCAATTATTCATAATTATTAAGCAAATAAGTAATCGTATATTATCTGCCAACCTAAAAGTTTTTTTTACTAACATTAAATCATGTTTTTTTTAAGAAACTTGTAAAATTCGCAGTTAATAATTGATGGTAT